AACATCCCCATTTTTCGTATTGTTTTTCGGGGTCGACATATTTTTTCAAATATTATATATATCGCTTATATCTCGGAAACTATCAAACTTCGAGAAAAATCCATTTTCTTCAGAACCACCCAAAAAACCTAAGCGTAGAAGGCATTTTTCGGAACTCATTTGAAAATAGTTCATACAATAACTTTTGACGTTATTTTGGGAATGACAACATGTAGATTCGTAGAAAGGGATCCTTCAGAATACGCAGAAAACCGAATCACAATGTTTCCGAACAGACAGATATTTACTGAACCACATTTGCTTTGCGACACCTTTTTGTTATTGCCATGGTATTATCCAAGAAACTGCTGCATGACCTCTGTGTCCTCATCCAATATATTTCTAAACACTTATCAACACTCACGTTTTCAGACTATTTGGCTAACATGCCTAGAGTAATGTGGTGTCCTCACTGTGTTAAACCTAACAAGATGTGCAAAAGAACCTATTGCGAAAAAAACAAATTGATACCTCCACGTAAGAGATGGTCTACTCCACCGAGTGCGCTCCAACTCGCTCATCTACGCGCTGCCAGAATACATTAGCTTACCCGTGGCCAGCCGTTCAACGATGCCCTCCTTTAGTTTAGCTTTGCGAGACAATTCAATGTTACCTTGCAATTAAGTTTTGTCTTCAAGATATTATCCATTCTCAATGCAAAGGGTCACGTATGAATCGTAAATTGATCTGTTTTCCCAACAACGTATCGCCAGAGCAGATATACTCGGACAAGCTGTAGCTGAGCGGTTCAATTGCTGCTGACTAGAGGTGAGCGGGTGCATTCTGCCTGCGCGTAGGTGAGCTAGCTTGAGTACACTCAGGGGAGTAGACAGTCTGTTAGGCGCAGGTATCAGAATGATACTTGGAGTATAATTTTCACGCGTATTCCTAAGATAATTAGTAACAGGCATGATTTATGTTACTTGCAGAAAATCGATACTCAGCTAAGAGTAATGATAACGGTAATTTATTCACGTGGATTGAATTGGCCGGAATCGTAAATCACAAAGTTGATGAAAGCCTGGAACACACTGAATGGACATTATCATCATAATTATAAGGGATCGAAGTGAGTCTGGGAATATTTTGTCTATATTAATGCAAGCTTGCATGATGTTCTAGACCCAGCTTATCTGGTTTGCTAAAATTAGGTCATTATTTATTATGTATTCTACTGGTCACTGTCTATCAGAATGGTCAAGTGGACCTTTAGGTTGGGTTAAAAGTTTCGCTGACATGTCTGTTGATTTTTCTATCTCTACGCCTGCCAGCCGTATGAAGTTTTTTTATTAAATCTGAAAAGCAGGATGATGTGCGCTTATAATATAGCAGAAATAACAAATATAAACAAAATTTTAAACAACATAAAAAGTAATGCAACCGGGATAGATGATATTTCGCCCTTAATGTTAAAATATTGTGGTCCGTACATAGATAAGTATATAACACATATTATGAACTGTTCCATTGAAACAAGCTACTTTCCCGACTAGTGGAAAATTTTCATAGGAAACCCGTTACCAAAAATAACTAACCCATCAAGTTTTAACGAACTTCGTGTGATAAGTATACTTCCTGCTTTGTCAAAGATATTTGAAAGAGTTTCCTGATACTCGTGGGGTGTGGTTTTCGTAAAAATTTTGGTGCATCAGTGGCTCTAACAAACGTACTCGATGACATATTAAGAGCAAATGATAAAAACAACAAATCTAAGACTGAGTTTTTGAAAGCTAATCTCAATATAATGGCTAATAATTCAAAATTGAATTTTGTTGAAAGTACAAAAAATCTTGGTATAGTTTTAGATTCTCAGCTTAGATTTAAAGATAACCTAACAAATCTTCTGCAAAGATCATTTTGTTCTCTAAAACTTTGGTATAATAACAGATACATACTAAACAGATCACTAAAAAAAATTGTGGGAATCCCTAATTCTTTCCAATTTCAGTTATTGCGATTTTGTCTATGGGTTTTGCTTAGATCAAGCAGAGGTCGAATTCAGAAGGTGCAAAATGCGTGCCTCAGGTTTATCTATGGTCGGCTTAGGTTTGATCATATATCTCATTTGTATAAAGAAATTAAATGGCTTAAAATGAATGAGCGTCGCACTCTCCATTTTTCTAGTTTTTTTATTAAAAATTATAAACACTCCAGGTTCACCTGATTATATAAGAGAACGCTTAATTTTCCGACATTCTGTTCATGATATAAATGTAACATATTTAAAAAAGGTAACTATGCCGCTTCATAGTAGTGTATTGTTTCAACGATCATTCTCATACAATGCTGTTAAACAATTTAATTCAATTCCCAACCAGTTCCTTAATCTTCCTCTTTCAAGTTTCAAAATACAACATGAGAAGTATTTTCTAAATACAAATCTGAACAAACTTCTTTAGAATAGAGATTGCAGTTTATAATATAGGTATATAAGTAGAAAAAATATGTCAAGCAAATTTTATAGTAACCAGTAACCAAATTTTATAGTGACCAGTATTAATTAATATCTTTTTGAAATTTTAATTTACTTTCAGTCCATTTAATGTTAACACGGGATTGTTATTATGATTATTCTGTATTGTTGTTTGAAGACTTATTACTATTATTATTTTTTTTTATCTTATTTTGGTTCAGTAGAGTAGCTTTAAGCTAAACTTGCGCCAATATTAGGCAACGTATTCTGAATTTTTTTTCTAAATTACCTTTGTAAAAAGATTATTTGTTGTATTCAATAAAGTCATTTGTTATTATTATTATTATTATTATTATTAATAGGTCTTTTTCATGGGGAAACAACCGCGCAGGCAGAAGTCTAAATACTAGGGCCCCACGGGTGATATAATGATCTTAAAGAAACTTTGTTAATCGGATTTTTGAACTACCTAATGTTAGCAGAACAGGGAAAAACCCGCTCAGGCAGATTGTTCCACAATTTCGATCCTCTAGGGACAACGGTCACAGACACGGTTAGGATAGGAGGTCGAGATCAGGTGGGTCTGTCTGAGGAGCAAAGTCCGTTGGTGTAGCGGTAGAAGAGAGCTAGATCGCCGACGGCCCGCCGCGCCGGTGCGATACGGTCCTGAGACTGTCCGTTAGAGAACGGTATCTATCAGTTGGACAGCCCTCCTCTGCAGGTGCGCTTTGGCATTGTTGACTAATATTCGGGGATTTTAAATTGACCCTGAAATTAGCTTAGAGATTGGTTGTTGTGGAAAAAATGAATATATTTTGTTCACAGTGTGGTGTTGTATGATTACGAACTTGCTTGACTGTGTTCATATCACCGAATCTTATTATCTTGTACATCTACGAATGCGTTCCCTTTATGTAAACCCCTTCAACTAAGGTTATTTATTGTTTATAAAAATTTATAGCTCTCATCCTTCCGATTGGGCACCAAATTCGTGTAAATTATTTGTTTTTGGTTGGCGGTTTATGGTTAGGCGCTTGCCCTTTTGAATGGCCCTTGATAAAGTGCCATTCTTCTAGAAATAAGGGACAGGAGAAATAGGGACTGAGCTTTTGCTGGAGCAGATTTATTACACAGAGTGTGAATGAGTATCTCTGATACCAAATGAGCTCCCCAACACATATTCTGTTGTAAGAGATATTTGAGATCCAATAAACATCCCCAAATACGAGCTATTTTGAGCCAAAAAACGTATTTGTTTTTTCAACATAAAATAGAACTGCTAAGAAATTTTAGGACATACTTTTTTAAACCCAAATACTATTCTTTTTATTTTAGAAACACCCCGAAAATGTTCCTTGCTATTTCTTAGAGTTCTGGGATCAACGAGATTGTAGCGAATTTTTCGTCACTTTAATAGGGTACAACTTAAAATAAATGCAGCAAAGTTGAACCGGAAATCTGGTTTTTAGTTTAAATAAAAAATGTCTCGCGACCAGCGTCTGTCTTCCTACACGGCGTTAGGAGAACTCAGGACCGCCTTAACACAGGGGCTCGCGGGCCCGGGTCCAGGGCCCCGTGATGATGGGGGGGCCCTAAAAAGTCAAATGCTTATATGCAATTCAAATTCTGTGAATGGAAATCAAAATGTTACCGAAGCTACAGATTGCGCCATCTAGCCACCACATAGACTACTACAACTTTTATTCATAAAAATAGTCGATAACAGTGCCATCTAGTCTTTATAAATCGGCTGAAAGTATTCCGGCATTGCATAGCCTCTTGAGAAGGGACAAACTGGAGGGAACATTCCCAAATGCGGAAAGAGCAGCAAGAGTTTTCCTGTGTCTAATGGTCAGTAACTGCAGCGGAGAGCGGTCTTTTTCAAAGTTGAAGAGAACAAAAAATGAATCAAGAATGTCCATGTCACAAGAACGCCTCACCAGTTTGTCTCTTAAGTCTATAGAGAGTGCGTTCCCTTTATGTAAACCCCTTCAACTAAGGTTATTTATTGTTTATAAAAATTTATAGCTCTCATCCTTCCGATTGGGCACCAAATTCGTGTAAATTATTTGTTTTTGGTTGGCGGTTTATGGTTAGGCGCTTGCCCTTTTGAATGGCCCTTGATAAAGTGCCATTCTTCTAGAAATAAGGGACAGGAGAAATAGGGACTGAGCTTTTGCTGGAGCAGATTTATTACACAGAGTGTGAATGAGTATCTCTGATACCAAATGAGCTCCCCAACACATATTCTGTTGTAAGAGATATTTGAGATCCAATAAACATCCCCAAATACGAGCTATTTTGAGCCAAAAAACGTATTTGTTTTTTCAACATAAAATAGAACTGCTAAGAAATTTTAGGACATACTTTTTTAAACCCAAATACTATTCTTTTTATTTTAGAAACACCCCGAAAATGTTCCTTGCTATTTCTTAGAGTTCTGGGATCAACGAGATTGTAGCGAATTTTTCGTCACTTTAATAGGGTACAACTTAAAATAAATGCAGCAAAGTTGAACCGGAAATCTGGTTTTTAGTTTAAATAAAAAATGTCTCGCGACCAGCGTCTGTCTTCCTACACGGCGTTAGGAGAACTCAGGACCGCCTTAACACAGGGGCTCGCGGGCCCGGGTCCAGGGCCCCGTGATGATGGGGGGGCCCTAAAAAGTCAAATGCTTATATGCAATTCAAATTCTGTGAATGGAAATCAAAATGTTACCGAAGCTACAGATTGCGCCATCTAGCCACCACATAGACTACTACAACTTTTATTCATAAAAATAGTCGATAACAGTGCCATCTAGTCTTTATAAATCGGCTGAAAGTATTCCGGCATTGCATAGCCTCTTGAGAAGGGACAAACTGGAGGGAACATTCCCAAATGCGGAAAGAGCAGCAAGAGTTTTCCTGTGTCTAATGGTCAGTAACTGCAGCGGAGAGCGGTCTTTTTCAAAGTTGAAGAGAACAAAAAATGAATCAAGAATGTCCATGTCACAAGAACGCCTCACCAGTTTGTCTCTTAAGTCTATAGAGAGTGACATTTTGCAGCAACTGGAGTTGGACATCATGAAATCACGGAAAAAGCCCATACTATTGTTGTATTTAATTCAATAAATATGTTTTATTACAAGTACGCCTGTCTTCGATTCTTTTGGGGGGGGGCAAGCTCCTGTGAGCCCAGGGTCCCCGCATGGCTTAAGGCGGTCCTGGGAGGACTGACTCTCTACCCCTACCTCCTGCCGCGCACTGTTGCCATACACTCTACTTCTCAACCGCTTCAGGTTGTTTTAGGAATGGCAAAAGTTCGAAAATGTGACGATTTCAAATAAAATAGAAAAGCATGTAATTATAAAGGATTATAAAACTCTTGCAGGGGATAAAAACACCTAAAGTTGTAAGTCGTTGATGGTTTTCTACTCGGTGGGAAAATTATTAAAGATCTACATAGGTAGTCAGAGCTACTACGATATACTCGTAAGCTGTAGTTGTTAGATGTAACGGTGTTATTATTCCCTAGATTGTATCTCTGAGACTCTTTGAGGTAAGTTAATTTGTAAGGATACGATTTCACATGAAGGCACGCGCCTAGAATGAGTAATATTGTTAACGTAAGTATTTTTTCATCTCTAAATTCTTTTCGACAAGATTCTAGAAGACGCAATGAGAATAACCGGCTATTCCTTTTTGGAGGCAGAAGACGCGTGTTATAACGTGGTAACGACGCTTTTATGGCCCATTATTTCTAATACGATTCTCTCTCTCCCTCTCTCCCGTACACATGAAAATCTAAAGTAAAATACGACTTTGGCCAGCACTGTGTAAATGTAGATATTTATCCAGTCTGTCAGCATCACGTGTGAACCGCAATACGGAGTGACGTGAAAAATCGTACACTTATTAATTGGTATCCCAGGAAGAACATAAACATATAGTTTTATCCACGAATTCTTGGTCGATTGTGACAATATACAACTGTCGCGCAAAAATATCCACCGTCAACGTCAAACAGTCGTCACACGTATTTCGCACATCTAAAATTGTTGCTAATATGGAACACGTATTTAGGTAATGCTATAAACCTCCAATCACGTTTCGTACACTTGATACCAGTAGTCAACTTGCATGCTTGAGAAACTTGGTTGCTTCATTAGCGACACGTGCCGCGGTCAAACCGCGGAGTAGCAGGCTAGCTTATGTATACTAAGTGACATATAAATCCGAACACCCAGTTTAAATGGTTTTATTTTAATAAAAGTTGGTGAATGTATTTATCTTACTGTAAATAACAAGTGAAAAAATTTTCAGCCTTATCAGTTGGACATTCCGGTTTTAATACTGCTTTTTTTTAATTCACTAACGCTCTAAAAATGAATATTTCAGCCGCAGTAAAGAATCAACGTTGGCGGATTTTGGTTTTTGACATCCTTTACGATCGGTTACGATGCCTAGAGTACGGAGACCTGTACGATTTCGTCAACTTAGTGAGTTTGATAGGGGCCGTATAGTGGGACTTCGGGAAGCTGAACTTTCTTTTCGGGCAATTGCAGTTAGAGTGCAAAGAAGTGTAGACACTGTGGTTAGGTGTTGTCAGGCATGGCTTCGAGAAGGCCGTACGCAAAGAGCAAGGGGCACTGGACGCCGCCGTAGAACAACAGACCGTGAAGATCGCCGCCTAAGATTATTGGTCTTCAGGGACCGTTTCTCCACTACCAGGTCCATTGCAAATGAATGGTTTGCAGAACACGGAAGACCTATTGGCATGCGAAGTGTTTACCGACGAATGAGAAGTTTTGGCTTGTTTTCATACCGGCCACACTGGGTCCTCCCTTTAACTCGAGAACACCGACGTAATCGCCTTGAGTGGTGCAGACAACGGTCACTCTGGGATCAGGAATGGAACAGTATTGTCTTTAGTGACGAGTCTCGATTTTGTTTAGGCATGCACGATGGTCGTGCCAGGGTTAGAAGGCGAGGTGGTGAAAGGAGGAATCCACAGTTTTTTGTTAAAAGACATGTTCATCACACTGTTGGAGTTATGGTTTGGGGTGCTATAGCTTATGGTTCCAGGTCACCTTTAATCTTCATCAGAGGTAACATGAATGCACAGCGTTATATCCACGAAGTTCTAGAACCCCATCTTTTACCCTATCTTGACACCCTGGCAGATCCAACTTTCCAACAAGATAATGCCCGACCACATGTTGCAAGAGTCACAATAGACTTCTTTCAACATAATGATGTCACATTGTTACCATGGTCACACAGCTTTAAAGCAGCGCAATCATTTTGAAATTTTTATCATTTAATTATTATGCTTCATTAAGTTCTTATACAAAATTTTATTAAAATAAAACCATTTAAACTGGGTGTTCGGATTTATATGTCACTTAGTATATATTGATAACTGAATCTTCAAACTTGTCCAAACCAAACAATTCTCCAAGCAACACAGTAGAGAGATTATCAAAGCGTCGTCAGTTTGCAGTTTCTAATCCAGAACTGCTGTTTCAATCAGTTGCAGTTAGCTCATAATAGAAACTTTTCTTCCAATATGGTATTCGAAAGACGCAGGCAGCCTCGATGGAGACTCGTTTGTTTTAAGCTATAAGAGAAAACTAAATTAAATCTCTTAGTCGTGATCAGAAATTCAATTGGGTTGTGCCCGTAATTTCTGCAAACATTTGTCGTTAAATTTAGTTTCGTGCCGCAGCGTATCACTGGAGTATGAAACAGTCTGGAAACTAAGCACATGAATATGCCAAGTCTGCAAGATAGCATTGTCATTGAAGGTATATACGAAAAAATGAAATACAGGTAAGCTTTTGTTCTTAGAAGCAGACATTTTCAATGTTCAAAGACAATACCTCAGAAGTATCTTAAATCAAAATAAAAATAATATATATATATATAAAAATTATCAGTACCATACTAGGATCAGAAATCATCAAATAAATTTATGTACATGTTAAAAGAATATTTAAAATGTTTCATTTATCAAGCTCCATCAATATATAACAAATGGGAACAATGTCAAAAGATTACATTCAACAAGACATTAAAACAGTGGTTAAACAAAATGCCTAATAATGAACTAAGTATATATATATATATATATATATATATAACTTGAGACGTGGTCATTGTCGTCTAGACCAGTTAGGTGAAAAATTAAAGCTTTCGCCTTTTGTTGGGTACTTCGTCAAAATTTAAGCAAAGAGGACTCTTTATACTTTTTTTAATTCTCTCTAGCTTTCAATGGACTTTGCCATCATCATCAGGAGCTGCAATTACAATGATAACAGTAGCAACAAAAGTGTAAAATGAATTTAAATTGATTCAACTTACGTAAACAACAATTAGCAACATCCTCACATACTACTGTAAGTTGAATCAATTTAAATTCATTTTACACTTTTGTTGCTACTGTTATCATTGTAATTGCAGCTCCTGATGATGATGGCAAAGTCCATTGAAAGCCAGAGAGAATTAAAAAAAGTATAAAGAGTCCTCTTTGCTTAAATTTTGTCGAAGTACCCAACAAAAGGCGGAAGCTTTAATTTTTCACCTATATATATATATATATATATATATATATATATGTATATATTCAATTTAAAAACCAAAAAAGGTTCTAACCAAATTATATAAAATACCAAAATTATAAACGCCGCATACACTGTACCATTTATAAATCATGTATTTCAATTAAAAAAAATGTTATGTATGTACGAGCCCCTTCCCACTTCAGTTGGCCCAACTATTGAAATCTAAGTTTTTTACTTATCAAACACAAATAACAAAAGTGTAGCAGGGTGTTATAGGTTTAAAATATTAACAATGAATATTTTGATAATATATAGTAGAAAACACCAACTTTATCACCCCCTAATCAAATTTGCAGCATAAAAATAACACATGTTGCAATTACAGCATATTTATTTTCATTTCAATGCAAAATAAGTCTATAAACGCATAGGTGGCGGTGAAAAACAAAAGCCATGACAATTGTTTTTATTAATCACAGCTGTCAGAATACGTTTAAAATAGTTTTGTGTAGTTAAGGTTTTCAAAATGGGTAGAGGAAAGGTTATTAGTGAGAAAATTCGGTCACTGATAATTAAATTGTTTAATTCTGGCAGATCAAACTCGGAAATTGCAACTTTGTTAGACTTATCGCGGTACAGTGCGAGAAATACTGTTAGAAGATATAACGTAACTGGTTCAGTTAATATTAAGCCACGATATGTGAAAATAAGTAATATCACAAATGCCGACCGAAGAGCATTAAGAAGAATAATCGTGAAAAACAGGCGTGCCAATTATTTACAATTAAATGCTCTGTGGAGTGACGCCGTTGGAAGGAGAATTTCGAGGTCCACAACTCATAGAGAGGCCCACAAACTGCGATTTAGCACTTGCAAGGTAGGTTTTCTAAAAAAAAGTGAAGTAAAAACCCTAAAGCTACACAACTTGTTTATAGGCCAAAGAAAAGCCACTATTAACTCCACTGCAAAAGAAAAATCGGCTTAGATGGGCTAAAGAACATAGACAATGGACACCTCAACAATGGTGTGCAATACAATCGAGTGATGAGGCCCGATTCGAAGTTTGTAGAGGTATTCGCAAACAAATTAAGCATTCCATGTTGACTGTCTGAACAGAAAAGTGAAATTTCCAGCATCTGTTATGATCTGGGGCAGTATGTCATCAAAAGGAGTAGGAAAACTTCATTTTATTGATGGAA